CTAACGCCCCCTCCGTCTCTGGCAGGATCCCCTGGTTCCAGTATCCCATCATCTATGACATTCGAGCCCGGCCGCGGAAAATCTCCTCGCCCACCGGCTCCAAAGGTGAGAGCGGCCCCGCGGGCTGCAGCACGAGGCTCAGGCTGTGGGGCGGGAGTCTGGCCGCGGCGCTGGTCCCGCTCATTTCCCTCGCTCTTCCTCAGACCTGCAGATGGTGAACATCTCCCTTCGCGTGCTCACGCGGCCCAACGCTGCAGAGCTGCCCAGCATGTACCAGCGCCTGGGCCTGGACTACGAGGAGCGAGTCCTGCCTTCCATTGTTAACGAAGTGCTCAAGAGTGTCGTAGCCAAGTTCAACGCTTCACAGCTCATCACCCAGAGGGCCCAGGTAGACTCTGTTGCAGGCGACTTAACCCTCACGTTACAAAGAAACAGCTAAACTGTGGCTGTGGGGAATATAGAACAGATAATTGATAAATATATTAGGCTGGCAGATGTTGTACCCAAAGGGGAAGGGCATGGAACTGTATCCCACTTGCAGTTTGATTCAGATACAGACATGAGCACTAGGGCTGTATCACCCACTTCCCAGGAGACTGGATTGATTGGTATATAGAGTGCAAAGCTACACCACAGTGTAAGCATGGAGAGGGAGAGCTGATTTACATCATAGTCCACAGGTAACAGTAGAATTGGCTTTAAAAAAAAAATTATGTGGACCTTCATGGGTTTCAGAAGAGCTGTCAGAGCAAATTAAATAGCTTTAAAGGTTCCCAAAAGCAAAGTGGATGAGCAGTTAACAGAGCTGTAAACTCTCAGTAATGGATGCTACAGAAGAGTAACAAGTATTTCTGTTTGGAAAGAGATTAGAGAGTAATCTGGGGTGGGTTGCAAAATTATTGAAATATTTAATTTACGAAAGCCTGTATCTGAAAGTTTGTGTTCTGATAATTTGATTGCCAGGGGTTCTGAGAATATTCATCACCTATCACAGCTGAGGGAGAGGGAAGTTGCTGGTCTTCTTTTAAAAGGCTTTAAAGGAGATTCTGCATGGGACTGCTAAAGAGGATGAGTTGTCAGATGAAATACAAAGCATCTCTTAACTAGTTTCTGTTCTGTGATCAAAAAAAAAAAGCAAAAATTGGAACTGAGTGTCCAGGTCTTGTTGTGAGAACTGCTCCATAGCAGGGAACTCAGGGTTTTGTGCTGGGCCACGTGGTGTGCACTGAAGGGACTTGGCAGTTACCTTATGTAAAGAGAATGAGTGGTAAAGGAAGATGTGACAGCAAAGAAACAATGTCTGCAAAGGATTTAGGTTTATTGGAGATAAAGGTGACTCTTAAGTATCTCTGAAGAAGCTGAACTGAATTTGCCTGCTTTAGTGTTTGCCTTCATCTAGTGTTGATTACTGTAAAGTGGTTTGTGTTGAAGCAGTTGGCAGTGGGTAGGAAATGAAATTACATAGTTATGGACTCATTGCTCACACAGTAAAGGTTTCTGGCATAATTTTAGAACTTTGCTCAGAAACAGCTGAAGAGCTGAAAAGTAAAAGCAAATGTCAGGCATGTGGTGTAGTTGCAATAACTTCTGTTTAAGTCAATATTTGGTGCAGGATTTGTCAGCCGACCTGAAAAAGGTAGTGGCAAGTTAAAGGTAAAATAAATCAAAATATATGCCAACAGCACTCATCTCAGGAGGCTAAAAAAGCCATGCTGGATGCCTAGCTATAGTAATTAAGAAATGGCTTTTGTGGCAAAAAAAAAGTGGTGATTTTTCTTACACTTCAGAGAGCAAATCTGAGACAGTCAAACTGCAAACAGTGGCACCTTCAAACTGAAGAAGGAAATACTTCTTGCCAAACCGTGTGGGAGCTGTGGAACTGGGTGTGGTAGGATGTAAAAGAAAAAAGCTTTCCAGAAAATAGGGGTTTTTTTGCAATATTAATTGTATTCTACAGTTAAGTAATAACTATAAATAAGTAATGTGTGTGAGAACATAGTGTGTAGCTGTGAGCATTACCCAGAGGCAGGATGGATTAACGTGCATGCTCAGAGGTGACTTTGGGGCTGTCCCTCTGGGCCCCACGCAGGTGAGCCGTGAGGAGCAGCTCTGCTGCACCCCTGCAGCGCAGGGGCACGGGGCGGCCGCGGTTGGGAACCTCCTCTGTCTGTTCCAGGTGTCCCTGCTCATCAGGAGGGAGCTGACGGAGCGCGCCAAGGACTTCAGCCTCATCCTGGACGACGTGGCCATCACGGAGCTCAGCTTCAGCCGTGAATACACCGCGGCGGTGGAGGCGAAGCAAGTGGGTGAGTCCGGGGGGTCTTGGCCTTGCCTTTCCACTGAGCTGTTAAAGAAGGAAGCGGAATCTGGGGCAGCGTGTCACTGCTCTCACGCTGATACAGCTACAGAGCTATGGATCTCAGCCTCCTTAGTGATGGTGCTAAGCAGGTTATTTCACAAGGACTGTCAGAACACTTTGGGTCAGAGCTAATGGGACAGAGCTTTGGAGGGACCGGGTTCCCGAGACTGGCATTCCTCCTCAGACAGGGTGGGAGCTGCCTGTAGAGGATCTGGGCACTGTGGGCTTTATTTTAAAGCACTAAAGTACGCTCAGATTTTATAACTGGATATGACCCCAGAATGTTTTCAGTTGTTTTGGAAGCAGAGCCTGCAGGCTTCAGTTCTGGGTTCTGGTGGAGGGCTCAGAAGATGGGCTCTGCTTCCATTGCTTTTGGCCATTGTCTCTGCAGCCCAGCAGGAGGCACAGCGTGCGCAGTTTCTGGTGGAGAAGGCCAAGCAGGAGCAGAAGCAGAAGATTGTTCAGGCCGAAGGGGAAGCTACAGCTGCTAAGATGATATCCTGCTGTGGGAGATCTTGTGGGGTGTGGCTCGACAGTCCTGAAAGTCAGTCACACTTGGGCTCACACTTAGGAGATTGTTATCAGATGATAGCTTTGAGTAGGTCACTGTCATTTATTACCCTTTCCCCACTACAGTTGGCTAGAGTGAGTTTTTTCTGAGGTTCCAAGGCAGAGCAGAGAAGGCCATGAGCCTCCACCCCCTGTTGTAAGGTTTAACTTACTGGCTGTGTGTAACTGCAGTCCATAAGGTTTAAAAATATGCCTGCCCAAGGCCCAAGTTACAGGACCGAGATTGTTTTTTCCCCTAAGATGTTTGATGATATGCATCAGGAAGAATTCCTTGAGGGCAGGTGGCTTCTGTTAGTAGCTTTTTCCTTAACTTTTGCCCCCCTGTACCTCGGTGAAGCTCTCAGCAGAAAAAGCTACGTAAGATCCGAGCTGCTCAAAACATCTCAAAAACGGTGAGTGCTGGGGCCCAGAATTTCCTCTGTCTGTTTGCAGCCCTTGTGCTGTCCTCCGAGCCCAGTGGCCATGTGATGAATTTAAGGCGAATGTGACCTGTCCTGTCCTGATCCTTGTCCCTGCCCCTGATCAAGCAGAGCTTATGATTTAGCTTGCAATGAGCGGCTGTTCAGTGTGAGGCTGGGAGTTCACGCCCCTCATGTGGCAAGGCTAGATCCACATCAGATTCCATCACCCACACTCAGCTGCAGCCACCAAAAGCTCCTTGTTTCCTGCAGGATGAGAAAGGGGGACAGATAGGCGTGGGATCAAAGGTCTTTCTGACAGAGACAGAATGAGCATTCCTTTCAGAAGGTCTGATGGCACTGGGTTGGGAAGTCGGGAATGGAAATTGTTCTGGGGAACTGCATGGGTTTAGCTGAGATCCTGAAATGAGTGCTGTATCTGGAGGGGGAGATAGGTTCTTTATTAGTGCTGTTCTTCCGTGTGCTTTGATACTCATTATGCCATCTCTGTAATTAATTTGTTTTTCAGATTGCTGGCTCACAAAACCGCGTGTATCTCACAGCAGATAACTTGGTACTGAACCTGCAGGATGAGGGCTTCACCAGGTAAAGAGGCCAGATGAATGGATTTGCCCGCACCCTACTTGTGAAGCTGGTCCCTTTTCTGGAGCTCTCTCTGGATTTTTTCTCTGAGGAGCCCAATACCAGAGGATAAAGCTAAGTGGGGAGCAGTCTTACTGTGGAAATCGACATTTTGGTTAAATCTAATCAATTGCTCTTGTTTTTCTTCTTCTCCATCTGCCTTTCCTGCATCTCCTGACACACAGAGGAAGGTAAGGCACTGTTTATTTTGACCCTTTTGTTAGTACTTGGAACAAGGGTGTTGATACCTGCCTGGGGATGTCTCTGGCTTGGATCTTTGGCCATTGGAAGTTTATTCCATCTCTCCCTCAGTTCCCATTGTAATGTGAAGCTTGGAGCCTTCCTTGCAGGGGCCACACAAACATCAACATAAGTAGGAGGTGCTCACTCATGGGAGCTCTGTGTGTGTCCTGTAAGGAACCTTGCATGAGAAAGGCAGGAGTAACTGAGGAGCATCCTCTGATATGTCCTGCATATCTATACATAGGCACTTACCCCAAAGAGGGCTGCAAGAAGGCAGTTAGGTGATCATAGGTGTTTGTGTTGGTTTGGGATAACCATCTCTAGGAAAAGATGCTTGTGTTACTCTCCAAAAGAATTCCAGTCCATGCTAGAAAACCCCAGTTCCTGCTTGCAGAGCTGGCAGGAGTTTGGTGGCTTTGCCTCTTCTGTCTGGTGTTCCTGGGCAAGGTAGTGCCAGCTGAGGAGGAGGAGGAGTAGTGGCAGCATGCAGCCAGAAGCTCAAAGTTCTTATAATCAAGAAAGGAAGCCAGAGCTAGTTTCTTCTCTGGAGGATCTCTGATTGCAAGATAAGCATTCCTTTCTGATGGCCAGATTCTGTCTTGCTCACCCCATAATGTTTAAGGGGCTTTGAAAAAAGTGTCTAGTAGGAAGGAGATGTAAGTCCTTTGGGTGTGAGACTGCACATCCCCAAGTCTGCAGGGAGGATCTGGTTCAGCCTTGCTGGTGCTTTCTGGACTAATGACACACTTCTGTCTCCTTGCAGTGACAGCCTCCTACTCAAACAAGGGAAGAAATGAAAGAAACTAAGGCCTCCCAGACCTGGCGGTGCTGACCAGCAGAAGACGTGAGTGAGGAGCCTGGAAGTCCCTCCACTAGCAGTATTTGCCCTCACTTTGAAGTTGCTAATCCAGTAGCCAGATTTGGTTCCCATGCCCCTGCTCCATTTGCAGTGATCCAGTTATGGGATTGGGTTCTGCCTCAAGGCAGCTGTAAGTCCTTCCTCACCCAACCAGTTAAATTTGGGGAGGAGGCAAGGAGGCTTACTGGTGTTAAACCATGTGGGTATAGTAATTAATCATTAATCTATAGATTTCTGTAGGGTAAAATCAGAATTCATTTTTGCCAAGTGAGGGAGTTCTGTTGTCATCAGCGCTAGACTTTTATTCTAGTAAATTTAGTTCCTCTTTTCACTCTTGATCCCAACAGAACCTGGGACTGAATTCAGGACAATGTCATTCATTGAGTGCCTGTCACTGCTGGAATATCTATTTCTGTCACTGTCTGCTCAGTGATTCTTTCAAACATTTGTAAAAATTAAAGACCCCCAAATTTATACTGTCTAAGTGTGCTTAAGTACCAGAAAAAGTGATTATTTTGGGGCAAGCACTCATACAGCTGCCTGGGTGACCAGGGCTAGTGTGGCAGCTGCCTGTAGGTGCTGGAGATCAGTCTGGGTTTATTCTGCTTTTCACATCACCATGCCTGATGTGATCACTGCATCCTGATCTCTGTTCTTACACCTTGGGTTTTTCCCCACCCCCCTGCTTTCCTGGCTAAAAGCACAGGAGAAATCTTCCTCCACTGACTAAAATTTCTGCTGTGCTTGGGTTTCAGAGGCAAAATCATGTCTGCTTCAGGGCCATGCTTCTTCCCTGTCTCGTTGGATGTAGGACTTAAGAGATTTCACAGTCATAGAACTGTAGAATACCCTGAGTTGGAAGGGACCCACAAGGATCATAAGAGTCCATGACACACAGGGCAACCTGAAAGTTAAACTGTGGGCAACAGTGCTGCCTAAACACATCTTTAACAGAGGCATGCCTGGGGCCATGGCCCCTTCCAGGGGGAGCATGACTACCCTGTCACTCAGTAACGTTCCTGATACCAATCCAGAGTTCCCTCTGTGCAGTTTTAAGCCATTCTCGTGTGTCCTGTTGCTGGGCACCAGAGAGCAGCACCTCCCTCTGCCTCTGCTCACGAGGAAGCTGGAGACAGCAATGAGGTCAGCCCTCAGTCTCTTCGAAGCTGAATAAACCTGGTATCTTCAGCTGCTCCTCCTAAGTCATGCTGCCTTTCACCGCCTTTGTTGCCCTCTTTTGGACACACTAATGATGTGCTCACAGCCATACCTCATGGAGCCCAAACCTGCACACAGGACTTGAGGCTGAACCAATGCTGAGGGTGGTGGGACCATCACTTCTTTTGACCTGTTGTTAACTGTACTGTGGCTAATGCAGCCCAGGAAGTCTTCTGTCCCCTCAAGGGAATCAAAGGCTCCTCATTCATTATTGTGCTTAAGTGCACCTTTGGCTCTTTGACTAGGTCATTGATGGAAGCCTTGAAGGGAACTGGCCCTAAAATTGAGCCCTGAGGAACACCACTAGTGACTGCTGAGCCCTCAGGAACACTAGTGACTGGCCACCAGCTGGGTTTAACCTCACCTAGCTACAGCTCTTTGAGCCTGACCCTTCAGCTAATTATTCACCCATTGTATTGTGTGTATGTCTAGCTGTGTGCTGGATACTGTGAGAGATGGGATCAAAAGCTTTGCTAAAACCTGAAAAACAAACAAACAAAACCATTGGATGCCCTCCTTTTGTCCAGTAGGTGGGTAACCTTGTTAAGTGCTGGGGTTAAACCCTCAGCCCTGAATGAGGGTTGGCATATGGATGATGTCCACAGCCAGGAGAAAGCCAAGAAAGACCTTCCTGATTGGTTTTCACCCAGGGTCTGGCCAGTCTTGGGTGGAACTGATTAGGAGATCACCACCTTCCTTGATTAGGAGGTGCCCCCACCTTCCACCTTAACTTGGAGGTGGGACAAGAAGCCACTTCGGCAGAGCTGACTCTCTTTCCAGATTCCCAAGACCATTGATAAATAACGGAGGGAGATCTTGTGATAACATTGACCAGCTCTTCAGTCCTCTGGGATGAATTGTGCTGGGCCCCATGGGCCTGTGTGCATTCAGTTGCAGCAGCAAATCCCGTACAAGTTCAATGTCAACTGGGAACTAATACTCCTCCAGCTGTGGTCCTCCAGCCCAGAGCTCCAGGCAGCCCAGGGCCCACCACTGGTGTCAAAGACAGAAGCAAAGAAGGCATTAAATGTCTCTGCTTTATCTTCATTCCTATTTGGCATGAGCAATGGACAAGTTACGGACCGGTGTTTTCTTTAGTCCTGGTTTTGCTGTTAACTATACTTCAGAAAGCCTTTTTTTGTAAAGCACCACAGTACCAGCCAGTTCCAACTCCCTCTGAGCTTGGACCATACAAATTTTCTCCCTGTAGTGACAAATAGCACGCCTGTAGTCCTGTGCAACCTGCCCTTCCTTCCAAAGTCTGTACGCCGTCTGGTGCAGCTGGAGAAGGAGGTCCATGTTTGGCCAAGCCAGCCTTCTGCCCCGCTCGCTTGGCTGCTGACATGGCAGAGTTGCCTACGCCTGGGCTCTTGAAAGGAGGCCCTTAAAAAGTGACCAGAATTTATGTACCCTAATAGCCACAAAAGCAGGTTCCCAGGGGACCCTATTAACTAGTTCCTTGAGCAGCCTCAAGCGTGCTCTCCCAAAATCTGAATAGTAGCTCTACTGACAGTTTTTCTCCTATCACCAAAGATTTTAAACTTAACCCTTTAATGATCACAGTGCCCAAGACAGCCGTGAGACTATCTCCATTTAAAAACAACCATCTCCATTTACACCCAACTCCAGCTAAAGCTCTCCAATGAAGAAGAGAGGCTGTTAGGGACCTCTGGTGACACAGAGCACAAGATGTTTAAAGGAACAGCTATAATCTAGGGATGCCTGTTTTTACAGTTCACTGTTACTGGAGCCATAACTGATCCCCGTATGTCTTGACTTGCAACATGAAGGAAGCACCAATTTTTTGAACCAGCTTTGAAAAGGCATTCTCAAATAGCCACCCAACAGTAATCTGTATGTAACAGTATCCAAGATAAAGGGCAGACCACTTCCTTCAGTGCTGCATTACCTGATCTACAACCATGGAAGTAAGTTCTTGTTTGGTCTGTATTCCTTGCAGACAGTGGATATTATGGACACATGAAGGTCTGGAATTTAAACACAAATGAGCTTCTCAGAATAACTGAGCTTGCTCCATGAAATGTCTTGATTTTCATGCTTTGGGTAAAATTTAAGATAAACATTAATATGCCTTGCTTTAGGTTTTGGCAGCTTTTTAAGAAGGAGTTGAACTGTATCCTGCCCTGTGCCAGACAGCTGATAGTGACTGGTCGTGCAGTTACCTTCCCACGTAGGGCTCAGATGTGGCTCAGACCAGACAACATTCCCTGTCCTGTATTTCCAAGCATGGTCTGGATTCTCAGTCACCAGGACCTAGCTGAGACTTCTCCTTCAGTGGGGCTGAGCTCTTCCTGTGACCAGCTCTAAGTAGGTCCTAGTCCAGGACACCTGAGCCATTTTTTCATTGAGTAAGACATGCCTACAGCCTAAGCAGTACCTGCACCTGTAAACAAAGGATTCCCCACCACATGTCAAAATGGGTCCTGATTAGGGAGCATGAGGATAACTTTTCCAAATACCAAAATTTAAGTGCAAGAGCCTGCATCTGAGTTTGTCACAGGTAACTTTCTGTGCTCAGACTTACCTGGTGACTACCAACACTCAAGCCTCACAGCAAGGAGCCACTGCCATCGGGCACAGCTTCTGTTCAGGAGCCTGAAGGCTGAGGAAGTGATGAAAACCCAGCCAAAGCCTTTCTTCTAAGTCTTTGCAGGGCTGCAAGTGAAGCCAGGAGTATATTCAAAGAGAAATTACAGGGGGGAAAAAAAAACAAAACAGCAACCTTTTGGGACTTGGCATTAAAGAAATGCAAGTTTATTTACAAACAAAGGAGAAAACACAGCCATCACCAAAGTGTGGTATATTTACAGCATCCAACTGAAGGATCAAATAGAAAAGGGATTGTAGGACAGAGGGTTGGTATTAAGGAAAGAGGAAGTTTTCTGCTGAATTGCAGAGGAGCTGAGCTGCAATGGGCCAAGACCTCCATGCTTTAAAAGCTGAGGCTTCAGGGAACACTCACAGGCTAAGCTCTAACTCACAGTAGCTGGAAGAGACACAGCTCCTGTAAAGAGCTTCCTTAGCTCTTCCTGAGGAAGTCATCTGGCGGTGACACCGCAGAGGTGACTTTGGGTCCCAGGACTTGGAGAGCAAGGGACAGCAGGGGTGTGATTTCTTCCTGTTCCTGAACGATGAGGGGGCAGCAGGAGAGTTCCCCAGCCTGCACAGAGAGGAAGAGTGAAGTCAGAGAGCTGAGCTGGAAAGCAGCCCGGTTCAGGGTGCTGAAAGGTGGCACAGGAGAGCAGGGGAAGGCCTAGTTCCAGTCCAAGAGGAATGCCAGACAGGCCAGCCTGGACGTGAGCTCTAGTCCTGCATCCCAGCTTCAAAACCTCCACGGGCCTACCTGCGGCGCACGGTTATTTTTTCTTTATTGAGCCTTTCAGCTTCTTCTCCGAGGAGCGCTGCTTCCGCACCTTCTCCTCCTTCTTCCCCAGGTTCTCATAAATCGTTGACTCCTCCTTCTGCCTGTAAGACCGGGGAAAAGCAAGGCAAAAAATGAGCACGGGGAAAAGCCAGCCAAGCCAGCCAGGAGAACATTGCCAGAGGCAGGCGAAGTTAGGCCTCTGGTTGAGGTGAGCTCTTACTTGGAGGATTTTCGTGAAGCCTTGGCGTGCACGTTCCTCACTGCAGGGGGGTAGGCGATGTTCCCGTACTCAGACTCGCTCGGCTTGCCTTTCTGGGACTGCAGGGGAGGAAAAC